TATTATATTAATAATATGATAGTAGTGTATGTCGTATGATGCGTGTGGGTACCCGGTAGACTATAAGTAATGTAGTCTATTGTTTGATTCTTCGAATGCGGATACGGGTCGTAATGCATTATTGAGACTCATTGTACACCTGCGCGCACACACACTAATGATCATTTACACTCGCACACATTGATATGACCAGGTTTACTTGACACTTAATTTGCCTAAATCTTACTCCTTAGAAAATGACCGACTAGAACCCCCTTAATCGCAAATGCAAGATTTCTAGATCAAAAATAAAATTATTAAATTCATCCTTAAAAATGTTTACAAGATTTGTCCCCAGAGAGTTTCAAAGAAAAAAGTTTGATTTAGATGAAATTAGTAACTGGAAGGCGACACAGTTTCGTTTCTTTTTACATTACTGTGGGGCTTTGGTACTTTATAAATGTCTTCCTAAAAACATGTACAATCATTTTTTACTTTTGGTAGTAGCGTGTAGAATTCTTTGTGATCCCGATCTGTGCACTTTAAAGGTAAACTATGCAAGAGAATTATTAAAGAAGTTTTTTGTGCTTCTGCCTTCATTTTATGGAGCAGATTCACAAGTTATGAATAATCACAACTTAATTCACATAGCAGATGATGTAGAATACACACAAATGCTTTTACCTGCAATTTCGGCATTTCCGTTTGAAAATTGTCTGGGTGAAATCAAACGACTAATTATTGGGAAAAATAATCCTTTGGCGCAGTTGACTAGAAGAGTTTCTGAACAAAAAGCCTGCCCACTAACTGTTAAGAAAAATGCCATGTATAAAAAAAATTATATCATTGTTAATCCTGACATTTTACATGGAAATAAGAAAGTTATTAAAAGCGTAATTATGAATGGAATTGAATTAAGTAGTTAAAAACCCAATAATATTATTTTACTCAAATCAGGTGAAGTTTTTAATATAACAAGAATAAAAACAAAACAAAAAAGTCTTTATTTGCATGGTTTTACATTTAATACTACCACAGATGCTTTCAGCTACCCATGTAAATCAACAGAAGTTGGAATCATAAAATTGGGAAGATTATCTAGAAGGATATCAATTGTTTCTTTAAAATTTAAAAGATGTATATAGAAAATGTGTATTCTTTGAAAATGGCAGTCGCAGTTTTGTAGTCTCTTATCTTGATAATTTATAAATATATTTTGTAAAAATTATATTAATTTACTAATAATTATACATTTACATATTCTATTAAAATTATTATATTAAATATTTTCTAGTGTTTATTTTTATTTTATAATCTTATACTAATGTCTAATGTCTAATATTTAATTTTTTTTTTTAAAAACAATATATTATTTATAATAGGTAATATGGAGTATCAGAAAGATACAACCCATGTAGTAATTCAATTTAATAAATAAACCAAACAGGGGAAAGTAAGCATTGATCTGGTACCAATATCTTGGACCTACATTGAAAACAACACTTCATATTGTAAATACCCAACAAAAGAAAATTACCATAAGATTGATATAATGAGTAAAGTTTCATCGGCTCATGAAACTTCATGGAAAGGATATAAAATTCATGTAATCAAAGAAGTTGGTTAGTATTAAATTAAAATATTCTTTCTATTTATTTTACATTTACATATATTTTCAAACAAATTATTACTATTCTCTTTTTAATAGGTACCTACTTAAAATGTATTACAAACTGTAATACATTTTATAAATTAATATGTATTTATATATACTTCAATAACAATATACTTATATCAATAACACTTTTATTATCAACAATTTTATCTCTTAAATGGTATTTTATTTTATTTTTTAGGAAATTACGAACAAGGGGTTAGAAGAATGAATAGAGCATTCTCAAACACAGTTATCCATAGTAGCAATGTCGAGGAGAAATATAGTTCTGAAGAAGGTGATGATATTGTTGATTTAAGTGGAAATGAGCTGAAAAAATGTCTTAAAGATATTCCTTCCTATGATATTATAGAAAACAAAAATAATGGTATCTGACCTTTCAATTATGAATAGACATAAATAACTAATTTATATTTCAATAATTATGTTGAAATTAGATGATAAGATGGAGTCCGAAAATTCAACATCAACTGATTCATCTACTACAATTTATAAGCGAAAAAAGCCAAATAATAAGAAAAAAACTGTAAAAAACACTGCTTTTACTAGAACAAAATATGATACTCTAGTTGTACTAGAAAGTGATATAAATAATGGTAATTATTTTTAACTGTTTACACATTTTATAAATATGTGCAATTTCTTTGTAATACTTATGAATTTATGTCAATAATAGATGATGATGTTTGGATACCTCAAACATCAGAAATTACTAAAAGAAAGAAGAAAAATATGATTGTATCTTCAAAACAAAATCACAAGAAATGTAAGACTTTTACTATATAGAATATTTTAACATAATAAAACTTTCATTCATAATTTTCTGATTTTTTGTTAAATAATAACAACTTCAAGTTATGGGTAAATCAAAGAATATAATTATTTTTAAAGTTTAACTTATTCATTTTATTTTATAGACAAAGCAACACCAGTTGGAAAATATTGCCCAACGTGTGGTCGAGCAGGTATGATTAATAAAATGTACTAACATACACAGGGTTAGGTTAATATACACCTAACCCTGAATATAACACTTAAAAACAAAACAATTTTAACTATGACATAATTAAAAAAAAAATTATTTCCATTTTAGACAATGATAACCAATTATCAAAATATGATCTTGACAATATGAAAAGAAGTATTGAGTACAGGGTACAAGAAGAAGCAAAAATTACACGATCATTAATAGCCACTACCAAAAGTACCACAGACATAGAAACTATTATGAAAGAGGATATAATGATTGATTTACCAAAAACCACATTAGAAGATTTTCTTTATTTTGATAAACAGTTAAAAGTTGATATAGAGTTGATGAAGAAAATGGTGAGAAATATTTGAATCTGTACTGTTAGATTCTAAGTTTTTTGTTTTATTATTTACTTATTGTATAATTTTATTTTAGAAATGCTTTATGGTGCTTCATGTAAACAGCACAACAAAACTAAGTCAAAGTCGAAGAGTTATTCCATTAATAATATCTAAAGAGATTCAATTACAATACAGTGCTTTTGGAAGAGAAACCAACGGAATTAAAAAACTAAATTTCTCTGGGACAACATACAAATATTTAAGAGGTATAAATAATAAATTTTAATCAGATAAAACTATTTGAACGGGCCGGGAGCATAAAAAATATTACGCGTGCCCGAACGCCAATGCTTTAGAGCACCACTTACACCTAGGGTGGAGAAATAATATGGAGATAGCTGGGTGTGTAGTGATGTAGTAGTTCAAACAGTAGTGGTCGGGGTTGCCGGGCAAATACTGTAGAACTACGTAATGCGTGTTGTGCGAAAAGTGTGTTTTTGAGTACAAATGTGTTTATATATGTGGGTGTGTGTACAATAAAACAATAATAATAAAATGGTAACACGGTTTTTGGTAATGAGTTGCTGTTGCTGTATAATACACAATAATAATGACACAAATATAAAAAATTACAGCAACACAAATGTATAAAATATAATATAATAAATAAATCAAAGCCCTTATGGCTATAACAGTATAATATTAAAATATAAATTAGCCCTTCTGGCCCAACAAAGGAAAATATGAAATATTATAATTGATTATAATATTAATACGCAGCCTTTATGGCCAACTGGAATAAATTACAATAAATAGTAGCTATTGAGCTGTTAGCTTATATAAGATAAGTGTAAAATACAAAAAGCATACGTGGCCCTTCTGACACACGATACTATAATAATAAGAAAATATCTGCGGTCCTTATGACTCAACAGATTCAAATGTATAATAAATAACTAATAAAATAATAAAAAAAAACTCACAGTTTGTGGAGCGCAGACTGGCCAGCTGGTCCTGTACCTATGCTATAATACGAATAATAATAACACACACAAACAATAATATAATAATTTACCAAATGATATATAAAAAAACTCAGGCGATTAGCGCCTACGATATAATAAATAATAATTTAACCGGCGATTCGCGCACGGCAAAAATACAATGAGTATTGATAACTGGACCAATATAATAATAATGCCCTTATGGCTCACAATAATAAAAGATTACAAATTTCATATATATGCCTAGGTGTATATTATACTCGAGCCTGGTCACTGGCACGACCAAATGGAAAATTGACACCTTGGCCGTGTTAAATAATATTCGCGTGGACGGCGCGGCGGCGTGCGATAACGTTTAATCTACATATTATATAATAATTCACAATCACATAATTAATACACAAAAACAATGAAACAAAAATAAATAATTAAAAATGTGATGATGTGTGTGTGACCAGCTATTCTCTATATCAATATTGTTGCGCGGCAACATTCTCCCCCCGGTGAAAACTTAGGTTTTCACTTTTTTTCCGTTTCATGCACAGGCAATCGACAAAGCTTGATTACTGGCCGACGCATCTCAGTTTTATTGGCCGTGCGTATAGTTACCACCCTTATTCTTCCATCATTACCTGGATGAATGTCGATTACGCGAGTGAGTTTCCACTTAGCTGGTGGCATATTTTCGTCTTTTACAATTACTATGTCATCCACTGCCAGCTCCTGACTATTGGTTGTCCATTTGCCTCAAATTTGAAGTTGTGGGAGATATTCGTTCTGCCATCTTCGCCAAAAAGATTGTATAAGGCCTTGGACATAACGCCACCGACGTAGGGAATTTTGTTCTTCGTTAGCCAAGTCTGGTTCCGGATGCATGGTTATCGGTCCTCCTACAAGAAAATGTGCAGGGGTGAGTGCCTGCAAGTCACTTGGATCGCTGCTCATTGGAGTTAAAGGTCGAGAGTTAAGGCACGCTTCGATTTGACAGAGCAGTGTTTGTAGCTCAGTGATAGTTAGTTGGGCGTCCTTTAATACTCGAGACAAGTGATACTTTGCCCTCTTAACCACGCTCTCCCAAAGCCCTCCAAAATGTGGTGCGGAAGGGGGTTGAAATGCCACGAGATGCCTTCTTCAACAGAACCACATCCTATGTCTTTTACATATGTAGCTAATTCCTTACGAGCTTCGACAAAATTCGTGCCATTATCACTCCACACTTCATTTGGCTTTCCCCTTCGCGCCATAAATCTTCTTAAAGCAGCTATAAAAGCTTGACTGGTTAAATCTTCTACAACTTCTATGTGCACGGCTTTTGTTGCAAAACATATAAAAAGCGATATCCAAGCTTTTTTGTTAGCTCGTCCGCGGCTACCACTTCGTAACATGACTGGACCCGCGAAATCCACGCCGGTGATAGTGAACGGACGTGAACATTTAACGCGCTGCTGTGGTAGCGGTGCCATTAATGGAATTTGGAACGTGGGCTTAGCGCGGACACACGGAACGCACCGACGGACAGTGTAAAGAGCTAATAGACGGCCCTTTAATGGCCAATAAGCCTGACGCACGGCTGAAAGTAACAACTGCGGTCCACAATGCAATAGTTTATGGTGAACGTGGGTAAAAATCAATTTCGTGATCGTATGCTGGTAGGGAAGGACTATAGGATATTTTTGTTCCTCAGTTAGATCAGAATTTGAAAGTCGGCCTCCAACTAGGATCAGTCCATTTCGCATAAACGGTGCTAAGCTCTTTAACTTGCTTCTTGGTGAAATGTCTTTATTGGCCTTGTATGCTGATATTTCCTCCGGAAATGCTTCTGCATGCACTCTAACTAAAATCCAATGTTCGGCTTTTTGCAATTCGGCTAAGGTGATGTACTTGGTTTTAGACACTAAACTCTTCGAACGGAGAAACTCAACAAATCTACTCAACCAGGCCACGCCCTTTCTAAGCTTGTTCCAATCAGAATAGTGTTGAAAGATCTTATCGTTATTTGCTACTATCACTAATGACAACTGCAATGGACGTTGTTCTGGTAGATTACATTCCTCTATTGGAGAATACACTTCTTGAGTAATTGCATTATAGTTGTCAGATAACCACTTCGGACCGTTCCACCAAAGTTCTGAGTTACTAAGACACCTTGCGCTACTACCACGGGAAATTATATCAGCTGGATTTTCTTCAGTATTTATGTAACGCCATTGTTTTGGATCTGTTATTTCCAGTATCTGAGCGACCCTATTTGCTACGTACACTTTGAGACGAACAGCCTGAGCATTTAGCCATCCTAGAACAATTGTAGAGTCGGTCCACAAATGGCATTCACGACAATCCACCTCCCAGGCTGAAGCGAGTTTACTGATTAGGTGTACCAGAGTTAGAGCGCCACTCAATTCTAGACGTGGTATTGTTTCACCTTTCAAGGATGCTACTCTGCTCTTTGCACATAACAACCGAGAGTGCCACTTATGGTCTTGATCCTTTGAGCGTACGTAAACACAGGCGCCGTATGCTTCCTGGGAAGCATCACAAAAACCATGTATTTCAATTGGACTCCTCGCAGTTGCAGATATACACCTAGGTACTGTCACCAGTCGTAAGTCTTCGAGTTCGCTATAATAACTATCCCATCTACGTTGTATGTCCTCCGGTAGTGCGCAGTCCCAATCTATCTTTAATTGCCAGATTTGCTGGATAAATGTCTTCCCTTTTATTAGGACCGGTACTAGGAAGCCTAATGGGTCGAATACCTTGTTCAGGTCAGATAGAATGCCTCGTTTGGTGGTTTTATTAGTAGTGACTCTCATAACACCATAGAATCGGAACACGTCCTCGACCGATTGCCTATGTAGTCCCAGGGATTTCACTGCGTCTTCCTTTTGAATTTCTAATGCGAAAAGAGGGTCTTCGCTAAATCCAGACAGTCGAGCTCTTATAGCGCTAGAATTGGAGCACCATTTCCGTAAGGGTAAGCCTGCCGAATTGGTTATAAAGGAAATTTGTTGTTGCAATAGTAAACATTCTTTCTCCGACTCGCAGCCGGTCATTAGGTCGTCCATATAAAAGTCATTTTTGATAGCCTTGGAAGCGTCTGGAAATTCTGTCTTATTTTGATCGGCTAACACCACTAAACATTGAATAGCTATGAACGACGCTGGTGTTGTTCCATAGGTGACCGTTAGAAGGCGATACGACTCGAGTTGCCCGCTTGGCGTGGATCTCCATAGTATCCTTTGCATATCGCAATCTTCCTTTGCAATAACCACCTGGCGGTACATCTTCTCTACGTCTGCAGAAATCACATAACTATGCTTACGGAATCTGCATAAAATTGTAAAGATATCTCCTTGTACTACGGGCCCACGCATCAATAAATCATTAAGTGACTTGCCGTTAGATCCCTTTGCCGAAGCATCGAATACCACTCGTACCTTGGTGGTTGAGCTTGATGTTTTTACAACTGGGTGATGGGGCAGATAACAGACTCGGGAAGGCCTTTCTGGTTCGTCTATCTTTTCCATATGTCCCATTGACAAATACTCGTCCATGAACTGTATATAAGCCTCTCTTAGCTTATCGTCCCGCAGCAGTTTTCGTTCCACACTTAAGAACCTACATCTCGCCATTGTTAACGTGTCCCCTAATTCCACTGCACCTGCCTTGAATGGTAAGCGTAGTACAAATCTTCCTTCAATATTACGCGTAGCGGTAGCTTGAAAATGTTCCAACGCTTGCTGCTCTTCGAGACACTTCTGATTATTCTTGGACAATCTGCCATTGTCATCTTCTTCTACAATTCCTTGCTTTCTCCAATTATCTTCTAATACCTCACCGACACTAAGTAAACACGTGGAATGGATTCCTCCCGTAACAATCCAACCCAATTTACTTTCTTGTAAACAAAGTGTTCCCGAAGACAATGGTATACGTTTGACTTCCATTAATTCAAAGAAAATGCCACACCCAATCAATAAATCAATGGGTCCTGATTCGCAGAACGAAGGATCGGCCAGCAATGAGGTGTATTCTTTCGGTATTTTCCATCCTTCCTCTGGTGATTTAACGGAAGGTAGCTCCTCGGCAATTACTGGCAATATATAACAATCTGTGTGAGCACCGAAGTTTTTGACGCAAGATTTCAAGTGAATATCTATGCTGCTGGAGGCTTGAATTGAACTGGAGCCGATACCACTTATAGGCAGCATCATCCTCTTCGATGGTAGTTGAAGTCGCTTCGCAAATCCTCTTGAAATGAAGTTCACCTGAGAGCCACTATCCATAACAGCTCGACACTTACGATATACACCAAGGTTATCTCTAACTAATACTATTGCAGTGGCCAAAAATACATGAATAACTTTCTTGGTTTTTGGGACTGACACCAAGCTCTTAGCTCTAGATGGTTGCGTCATTGGTGGAGTAGTTAAGGGTACCAAACTTGAAGCCTCATCTCGTAACCGATGATCTTCCTGATTTTTTTCAAAATGCAATATTGTATTGTGTTTCCGATTACATTTCTTGCATGAATAACTCGACTTACAATTATCAGCTGTGTGGAATGGCGCTAGGCAATTAAAGCATAACCGATTGTCCCTAACTACATCCAACTGTTCAGATATCGTATATTCTTTGAATTTTCCACAGTCGTATATCCTGTGAATCGCCTTGCAGCAGGGGCATGGACGAGACGGCTTGCTTCCAGTTGCTATTAAAGCTTTCTTTGAAGTAGCTGATACCATAAGACCTCTTGAATTTGATACCCTTTGAGTTGTGCTAGTAGACTGTACGTATGACTAGGATGTTTCTAAAGCTACGCAACGACTTGCCAGGAAGGCTTCAAGATCGGAATATTTTGGCAGTTCGGAATTCCTTTGATGCAGTTGCCAACCATGAGCCGTACTCTTGTCCAATCGACTTACAACAATGGTAACAAGCCACGCGTCCCAATGCTCGACTGGTTGACCCATTGCTTTGAGTGCGGCTACATGGGTGCACATAGTCGAATGTAGCTGTTGTAACGTTTTGAATGCAGCCTCTTCCACCCGTGGACAATCCAAAATCGAACGAATATGGGATTGAATCACCAAACTACGATTATCGTATCGGTGTTTCAGCTGCTCGATGATAACTTCGTAATTTCCGTCGCTCACCAGTATAGCTCTCACTAAATCTAAAGCTGCCCCTTCTAGGCATGACCTTAAATAAAAGAATTTTTGGGCCGGTGAATAACTTTCTTCCTTATGAACCATGGCCTTAAATATATCAAAGAATGAGGACCAATCCTGAATGTTTCCGTTGAATTTAGGAAGTGGAATTGGCGCTAATTGTGTTCGTTGTATATTATGTGTAGATGTAAAGGAAGAGTGAGCTAATCCAGTGGTGGTATGGGATTTTTTTTGGTTAATCAACTCTTGAATTTGAGATCGTATAGAAAAGTAGTCATTCTCGAACTTGTCCCTCTCTGCTTCAGCTTCATCAGTGTCATCGGACACAAACAATTCGATTTGGGATTGTATGTCATCAAACTTTCTATTAATAGAAGGTAATTCTTCCTGACGAAATTCGAGCAAAGACAACGCTTGCTCTCTGGGATCAAATTTAGCTACAAATGAGCGGAGTCGAGTTAATGCTGCCTTGATAACAGCTCGTTTCTTTTTCAAGCCAATAAGCGTTTTTAGATCCATTTCATCCGTCATAATGAAATAATAATATGACAACACCAGATATTATATAAACCAAAAATAAAATACTTAGTACTGACTCGCCCAAAACTACGTACTTATAATTAAATGCGATACTAGCAACAATCGTATGTGAATATACAACATGCAATAAGGGCAGTAATAAAAATAATACTACTAGAAATAATTATTCGATCGCCGATAGAACAGATACTTCGGACTGTGCGCGCGATAATAATAAATACGGATTACTCGTTCAAATATAATATCTTATGACTTGATTATATAATTCACGAAAATAGACAATAAAATATCACGTCGAGGTCATCAAAATGAACGGGCCGAGAGCATAAAAAATATTACGCGTGCCCGAACGCCAATGCTTTAGAGCACCACTTACACCTAGAGCGGAGAAATAATATGGAGATAGCTGGGTGTGTAATAATAAGAAAATATCTGCGGTCCTTATGACTCAACAGATTCAAATGTATAATAAATAACTAATAAAATAATAAAAAAAAAACTCACAGTTTGTGGAGCGCAGACTGGCCAGCTGGTCCTGTACCTATGCTATAATACGAATAATAATAACACACACAAACAATAATATAATAATTTACCAAATGATATATAAAAAAACTCAGGCGATTAGCACCTACGATATAATAAATAATAATTTAACCGGCGATTCGCGCACGGCAAAAATACAATGAGTATTGATAACTGGACCAATATAATAATAATGCCCTTATGGCTCACAATAATAAAAGATTACAAATTTCATATATATGCCTAGGTGTATATTATACTCGAGCCTGGTCACTGGCACGACCAAATGGAAAATTGACACCTTGGCCGTGTTAAATAATATTCGCGTGGACGGCGCGGCGGCGTGCGATAACGTTTAATCTACATATTATATAATAATTCACAATCACATAATTAATACACAAAAACAATGAAACAAAAATAAATAATTAAAAATGTGATGATGTGTGTGTGACCAGCTATTCTCTATATCAATATTGTTGCGCGGCAACACTATTAATTCATATTCAAATTATTTTGTACGAGTAAATAATTATGAATAATTTTGATTGTTGATTAGTTATAAGTAATTCAAATTTAGATAAGTGGAGTAGTGAATTAACATCTTGCAGAGGTACCACTGTGCTGATCTAATCTACTCATCTATGCTTTCAATATTTATAACTAATTAAATACTAGTATCAACACGCTTATAACCAAATTACCAATCGAGCTTCACGTACCTGGTAAGTCTAGAATAATAAATCCGATATTATCATAATAATAATATTGCTTTGCAGGTTATCAATACTGTGGGCCTGGTACAAATTTAAAAAAACGATAAGCTCGCGGTGATAAAGGTATAAACCCCCTGGACTCTGCTTGTAGGGACTAGGGACCACGATATTGCGTACGAACATAGCAACTCTATCGCAGATCGTAACAAAGCCGATTATATATTAGAGCAGCGAGCCTGGGATAGATTAAAGTCAAAAGATTTGAGCTTAAAAGAAAAAGCTGTGGTTTGGGGTGTGACTACTGCCATGAAAGCAAAACGTAAAGTAGGCTGCGGCTGTGGTTTTAAAGCAGCACTTAAAGCCACTAAAAATGTTGTAAAGAAAAATATTGGCGAAAAAAACTTGACGAAATTGACTAAAAAATGTGTAGCCGTCGTGCGAAAAACATTCAAAACTAAGAAGACAAAATTTCCACGAACAATAAATATTCCGAAAAAGTTCGGTGTGCTACCACTCATACCGAGTTTCACCGGGTTGTCAGCTCTGGGAGCCCTGACTGGCGGTGTAGCCTGTGTCCACCTAACCTGTGAAGGTCGCCAATGAGTTTAATAGAAACACTCCATCGCATTGTTGGAGGTGTTGTATACCATGGAGGGTACTGTGCAAAATTGTCTGAATTACGTCTACGACGTTTGGTTATGACCGTCTGTGAGGATGATGCTTGCCCATCGGTATCATCAATAGGCTAAACAAATAATAATTTGTTAATATATATACATATATATTTTAAAAATTAAATGTGAGTATTACCAATGATTTTGTTGGTGCCCATGTCGCCTCTGTAGAGGTGATTTGGGTTAAAAATTCATCTTTACCACGATCCTCGTCAGCTGCCTATAAAAATTAAAATTATTAATACTTAAATTATTTCAATAGATATGTAAGTTAAAAATTACCTGTGCCTGCGAAGGGTCTTCGTGCATTGGAGACATACTCGAAAATTGAGGCGGTGATGATGGTGAAATGAGCGTCACTTCGGATTCAGTGAATAACTATAAAATAATAATTATACATTAAATATTTTTAAAAGTAATATAATTTATAGATTTACCTCTGGCGACATTTCCCGGCTCCATCGTTTCGCCCAATGTTCGGCTAATTGAGATGAAACATACATTTTGAGTTGACTGATGAGATTGACATCATTTTTTGCAATTTTTGAAATTACATTATCGCCGCGTACATTTTTGATAAATGTAACCATTTCTTCGGGATTTTTCGGTGGTGAATCAACCTTGGTGAATTCAACATCGATATAGTTTAAAAATATATCGAATTGTTTTAGGACAGCTGGTTGTGTTATATTTGATTTTCGTGTAATCGTTTCAAATATTCACCATTCCAAATACTGAAGTTGTATAAGGTCCTTCCGATTTAACAGTACTCTGCACCCTTCATGAGTTTTTGACTCGATCACTAGCACATTTTCTCTGCCATACACCATACTGGATATTTTATAAAGTTCGGTTTCCAAAAATAACGTACGCTTATATTTTAGCGCCTGCTCCAATACGAATGACAGCATATTACCCATCAGTGAAAATATACGTTTTCGAAAATCCGGTGTTATTTTGACATGCCTCGATGGAGATAAAAAATGGATAACGACCTGGAATTTTTCGCTCGGGTCAATACCGATATGTACAAACTTACGGGCTGCGAAGTCGAGTGTGTAATATGTTGATTCGATAAGTTCGGCCGGTGGTGATGGAGGCACATAAGTAAATGCATTCTTTTTATATAACGTTGGTAATAGAACCAGCCATGTTTAAAATTATTTTTGAAAAATAAAAACACACACACACTTTAAAACTCACTAAAATTTAGATAGACGGAGCGAGCGAAAAATACGTGTACACCAGTTTAAGGCAGCAGACGGACTAAATGGCCACCGACTCCTCGAGTCAGGAGTCTCTATAATAGGTGGGGACATTTTTCAATATTAATGGATTTTGCTGGAATGTGATTAATTGATTGAAAACTCTATCGTGGAGTTCTAAGTATTGATATATATTGCGGTTATTAAGAGTCGGCGACATGAGCGAATATGACATTTTTAAGTAGATCGGTTATTAATGTGTATTAGTAGGCATTTTAATATCGTTAGTGTGCGACATCCTGGCGACGTACGTTCTTAATCGATTATCGATGAATTGAATATGGATATGTGAGGGGTGGTGTAGGGATATACATTATGAGTCGGCGCCATCCTGACGACCGTTCGGGCACAATAAGCAGATCGTATTTATGTATCAAGGTTAGGTTTGATTTTGTATATTATTTCCCCAAGAGTTAACTATACGTTGTGAGAAAATTCATATGATTATGTATATTATTTAGCGTGTATTTAAATCTTAGATCATATACTATGGATAGAGCTACTGCAATATAAACGTGTACTAGGAAGTTGAATACAACATTATTAAGGTGACCGATATAAATTGCGCATGCGCATCTATTGCGCATGCGTAATCATTATAATAAAAATACGATATTATGTGATTACTGATTAGTGATTACGTATATTTTACTGTTTACGTGAAATGTGAATTTGTCCACGGTTAATATTCAATATTAAAATACAATATGCATTAATATTAATAAGTACAATAAATTTTATACAATAAAGTAATTAAAAACATTTCATCTTATTCACCATAACAAATGTAATCATGGGAATAGTGGTCATAACTCATAGTGGCTATTGGTTTTTAAATAAAATTAATTTAGTAT